CGGTTGGCTGGGCGCGTGACTGAGAAGTCAGACAGTCGCAGTCTCATAGGGCAGCTATCAGCAGTACGACAGTCGTCAGTGGCAGAGAGGAGAGGTAAAATAGAAGCGTTACAACAGTGAAGAAGAAGCGTTACGACAGCTTTATAAAAGACTTCACTTGAAACCATTGGTTTATTACTAGTCGTCTTAGTGCCAACGAATTCGATAGGTTACATGTTAATTTTTAAGGTTTTCATCCCAATACTTTGCAAGCTACATAGCACAGCCTAGTCCGGAAAATCACCAGACGTGTTTCGCCTTATTGGGGCTCGTCAATGGTGCGCATTCCCTCGGTCCCCTATTGGGGATGGAACACATGACCGCTAGAGGCGGATGCCAGCATCGTCATCAGTTTACACGTTAACTAAAGGTGGGAAACACCTCAGCTATGGGGCTGCGGCATTTGAAACTGAGAGAGGCTATATATTTTATATTACTCGTCAGTAGCAGGATTTTATTTTTAATTTTATAGGTTTTCACCCTAGTTATTTCCAAGCTGCATAGCACAGCGAAGTCCGGAATATAAATAGCTTCTCCTTGTTTCAAATGCTATGGACGTAGCGTCTAGAGAGAGGACCTAATGAGCCCGCCGGCTTGTCCCTGTCAGTAACAGTGGAAGATAGGTCGTGCTATGTCCCAGTTAGTATGCAAATTATATAGTCCGTCCAACGTCCCCATGGCTCAGTGGCTTAGGCTGCTGGCTAGTTGGCATCTGCCTCTAGCGGTCATGGTTTCGATCCCTGTTAGGGGACCGAGGGAATGCGCACCAATGACAAGACCCAATGGGGCGAAACACGTTTGATGCTTTTCGGTCTAGGCTGTGCTATGTAGCTTACAAACTACTAGGATGGAGGCACTATAAAAGTACAAATAAAATCCGGTTACGCAAGAGCTACGTCACCATACACCTCCCACGGCTACTCACGTAACAGGACAGGGGGGTAATTCGTCTACACTACTTGTTCCATAAACGCTATCAGAGCACATTTAGCAAACTGAATGCACTCGCTCAATGGGGTTAATACGGTTAAGGACGAAACAATAAACAATGAATGTATACGGGTTAGGAAGCTTTGCTTTACAAGTCCCGTTCGATAGTTGAGGGGTATTGAAATAACAATAATGATAATAATGATAGTAAAACGGCTAATATTTTACATATGAAAATGAGGATTTGTCGTTTGTTCCGCCTTAGTCCTGCAATCCGCTTCGATTCACAGCTCCCACAGTTAACATCATACAATCATGGTAAACTCCAGGTGTAGGATGGAGACGTAACGCTAAGTGACAAAGTGTACGTAGATGAGTGCATCGTCTAACCGTCTTTTAAATATTCTTAGGGTCGCTGCAGAGACGACCCATTCTGGGCGAACATGCCACAGGTGACAGACACGAAGGACAAAGAAATTTCTGTGGCACTCCTGAAGGCTACACTGTACAGCGACTTTCAATGAGTGATCCCTCAGGGTTGTATTGGTGCTGCGTCGCAGTAAAGGGCGGTACACGTGATGTGGGTCACGCAGTATTAAGTGTGCTATAATCAGATGGTCTCGTGGTCTGCGATAACTTTCACTGAATACACCAATCGTGGCAGCCTCTCCTGGTATGAAAGATTGCGTATGCCAATTACTTTCTTAGATGTCCGACGTTGTGGCTGCTCCATTGCATTAAGGTCGTGCTTCTGCCACGGATGCCGGGCTTGGATTGCGTATTCGACATGGGAGCGAACATACCCACTGAGCATTTGTCAAGATATGGAGCTGTTTAGTTGTCGAAACGCCTATTCCAACAGTCCGACGTGTTGGTTTCCAGTCTTCGAGGCTTTTTCGGATTGTCTGGTGCAATCCAAGTCATCTTGAACCAGGACACGCAAGTCAGGTTTTAGAATTGAGTGTTGCAGTGCATGCTTTTACAGCCGATACACATAGCTTCTCTGACCTCGGATGGAAAGCACCTTGCATTTAATTACGTTGAAATGCAGTAAGGTTTACGTGGAGCATTGATATGCCGTATCTAGACCTCTCTGAAGAAAATGCTGGTTGGCTTTCGCCTGGATGTTGCACTACATCTTGATATAGTCGGCAAACATTAGGAAGTTTGAAGCGATTCCCTGTGCAAGATCCTTAATGAAAACCAAAAACAAAAGTGGACCTAGAACTGAGCCTTGCGGCACACCACACTCGACTTGTGTGGGGTCCGATAATGTGCTCCGAACTCCGACCACTAATTGCCGTTGAAGTAGAAAGTTGGAGATCCTGCATAAAAGTGGTTCGCCAATACCGTAATGCTGGAGCTTGGAGAGTAGTATCCAATGGCCTAGAGGTTCGAAAGCCTTCGAAAATTCCAGGTGGATCACAATAACGCCTTCTCCAGCGTCAGCTGACTTGGTCCAACTACTGCGTGCGATTAGTAAATTCGTTGTACATGACCGCTGTCGACGGAAACCGTGCTGCTCAGGCGTGATGAGGTTACAGTTTTCCAGATAGCACACCAATACGCCGGCAACTATGGATTCCATGACATTTGATAGTATAGGAAGAAGGGATACTGGGCAGTATTTGGAGGGGTCAGTTCTGCTTCCACCTTTGTGAATTGGGTTTATTATTCCAAGCTTCCACATAGTGGGAACTTGATTCTGGTCTAAGGAACGCTGGAAAAACCGAGCTAATGTTCCTACCAGTTACCTTGTTGCTGCTTTCAGTACCTCTGGATGAATGGTTTCGAGACCCGGCGAGCTGTGTTTGCGTAGAGAGGTCAGCCTTTGCAATACAGCCTCTGCGGTAAAAGTAATATGGGTTAGTCCTGGCGAGGCGACGGCAAAGGCTGGAAGATCACTTGGTGGCAAGACTCTCTGAAACGTGAGGGCATATTGCATCCGCAGCGCGGTTGCTGCTTCCACATCAGTTCTTGTTGAACCATCGGCCTTCCTGAGTGGAGGAAATCCTTGCCTTACCTTTCGTAGGCTATCGACGTGCTAGAACAGCAGTTTGTGGTTAGCAATGTAGGTTTTTGCGATGTTCTGCTGATAGGCGGCTTTGTCTTCTCTTAACAGTTGAGTGCAGTGGTTACGTTGGGCTACGTATTTGTCCCAAGTTTCTTGTGCTGGAGCTTCTCTGTACACTCGCCATGCTGCTTTGAGTACTGTCATCCATTTTCGAGTTTTTCTCCTAGCAAAGAAACTGATTTACCCTTACTGCAGAGTCTTATTTCTAAAGCCTCTGCAATCAGCTGACTGAATTTGTTGACGCACTCCATCCAGGCGACTTCCGGGGGTTCCTCGGCAAGGAACCACCAAGTTGTAGCGCTGACGAGCTGGGCTAATCGATCGCAGCTTGTGAAGGTTTCGCACAGTCTCATCGTTCTCATTCCGATATTCCGCATAGCAGACGAAGTTGGAACTGATGACTGCATGGTCAATGCGACCCAACAAGCAGTCTAAAACCAATACATCAGTCATACGCTCCCCGTTGGTAAATACAAGATCCAGCACAGATGGCCTGTTACCTGTTCCGAACCGAGTGAGCAAATGATGTGATTATACTGTGGAACACTGGTTACGAGATTTTGTAGATCGGCTTTAAATTGTTCACTGATCGTGGCAGGAGTTTCTAAACAATGTACGTTGAAATCACCCATGATAAGTATGTGAGTGTACTTTCGTTGTAAGCTGCATCTTAAAGCAGCCGCTAGGTGGCAGTCGGTTTCGGGTGTAGAGTTAGGGGACAGTACACCAAGACACTAAGGCAAGCGTATCTGCCGTTTAACTGCAAGCGACACCAAAGGGAGTTGAGGAACTGCGAGTCTAAATGCCCCACGGCTTCTCAATGTAAGTCGCTTTGGTAATACAGGATTACCCCTCCTCCTTTTGTGAGCCTGTCGTTCCGGATCAGCGACATGTCCGTTAGCGAAACTTCAGCGTCCATTATTCCTGTGTTCAATCGCGTCTCGTTGATACCAAGGACACCATATGACTCGGAATCCTGGCGATCTTGCAGTTCGACAGTTTATTTAAAATACCCTGAGGGTTCGCCAAAAAGCAGGGCAGTTTCCCTGTCTCCATGAGCCCACAGATTGCTAAAGGTTCAAGAGTGGGGGATGCCGATCTTTGGGACGTCGGCAGTTACTAGTATTTTTGTTGGGATAATGATACCTCGTCTGAAACTTTATTCGGCCAAGGTGCATCCACGTCTTCGTTTAGACCTACGTCAATGTCAATTACAGCAGCAGTCAAGTTACGCTACTGTACATTCGTCGGTACGCTTGCTGGTTCAGGTGCTTTAATATTTGAACTGTGCAAAGCTTCTGCGACCTTTAACCGAACTTCAGAAGGAAAACTTTTCCTAATTCTCCGCCATCGATCCAAAACATCCCATTGGTTGTTGCTCTGACTGAACCACAAGTTTTAGGATTCTATGGCCTCATACTCTATAATTTGGTGAGAGATATATTCTGGTGAGTAATAGCGCCACAATATTATCCGAAGAAAATGTTTCGCGAATGAACCACCAGTGTTCTAAATCGTGCTTTCTTGTTTCTTGAAAGTATTTAGAGGGATGTTCTGAAACGGCCGCATCTCACTGCACTGAGAATGCCACCTCACACGGTAGTGAAACGTTTGCAACAAAACCGCCAAGCTCGGAGAACAAATGAAAATTTTAATCATCGACCCGAGCTACCAGTACCCCGAAACACTCTAAATCAGACCTATAATCAGTCATTAACTGTTGCACGCACGTCTGACCTGTCTTTTGGGCTCATGTTATCTTTTTCGATTCTGCTTTTTCCTGCAGTCATTACTTAGGCTTTGTTCCGGAAACACTACCAGGCGAAAGAATTCGAGTCTTACATCACTTTGTACGTGTCCGTTAGCTCCTGACACAGGAAGCGGACCACTGCAATTGGGAACGCGGTAACCAATCCACTGCAGTTAATCACTCTCCGCCTTCTTTGTTTTCTCCCAGCTACCTGTCTGAACGTGCCACAGCAAATCGCAATTTTGCCATCGCTTATTATATGAAAGAAAATCTATGTTTTCCCGAACATACCAGTCTGAACGAACTGATGGATTTCTACTTGCAAATCTGCTCCATCGAAGCCAATTGTGACGCAGTGTCTGTGATGGCCAGTACCCTCGCCAATGGTGGTATTAATCCACTGACCGGTGCACGGCTGGTAACTGTCGCAGCCGCCAGAGACACACTCTCTGTAATGCATTCCTGTGGTATGTACGACTACTCCGGTCAATTCGCATTCAAAGTGAGTTCATGTTGAGTCGAGGTATCATAGACAATGGCTGGAAACGTTCATTGTCTCCAATTCACCATGAGTATTGTTTCACTAAGTCCGAAATAAGTCTTTTAATTTCAAAAATATAAGTCACACACGGCCGAAATAATGGGGCTTCATTTCAAAGTAAAATGAGGTCCGAGTTGAGATTGCACATCGCAATTCTTTTATATTCAGATCGCTTAAGTCAAGGTGTTATTCTTCACTGTGGCCTGCATTGCACCCCGCGACTGTAGCTTATATGTAGATGCTTCGGCCGGTTGCTTCATGTTATGTCTGAAGAGGAAGCGAACCGAACTCGTAACCGAACAATTGTATAGACACATCGTAACCACGGAACCATTGTTGCAACTTTAGGCTATATGCTCATGAACGTAAGGTCGATTCAGCCAATTAAAAGCAAGGACACGCCTGTTCCAATGAACGTCAAGGGTTTGCAAGTTCTACCTACAAGCCAGTGGTAACGGTACAACAACATGACCATGTGAACCGCAACGGGAGTGTACACGACATCTCTACGTCCCAGTTTCGATCTGCTGCGGTTCTGCAGTGTAGAAAAGTGCAGTATTGAGAGTATACACAACATCTGTACTTGCTTTCGACATAGTCACAGTGACTGAAGTTATCAGTATCTGAACGGTGACAAATCCTGAGATTGCGTAGAGTACCACTCATCCACATAACAGCTGGTTCAAAATGAACCAAAAATACTTCAAAAACCCTTTTCGAAATCATGTAATTCGACAGAGGTAGAGATGGTGTCATCTACTTCTGCAGCCGGACCAATCCTCCAATATAGCTAAGGGACCAACTTTTCGCACTTCGTAATCAGTATGTTTCAGATTAGACCGATACTAATTACTGGTGATCTTTGGCCGCCCGTCAACCGGTTGTTGTTTGCTGTGGTGAAACGGCCTACCACGTTGACCGTTAAGTTGACGTACTTCCGATTATCTTAAAGACAAGTTTCCGGTTTCTTAGATGCATTCGTAATGTTTGTCAGAACGCGTCCTTCGCTCTTATCTGCTGTTATCTACCGTTTATAGTCATCATTTACCAATGTGATCAAATTAACTAGATCACTAGGTCTAGAGCAGCGCACTTGCATTTGTTTTATATGAGCGACTAGTTTTGTGTATCCTACTGAATAAAGTTCGAACGCTGTGCTGGCCTGTAGGATTTCGTCTTTCGCTTGGTCCAGTCAAGTTCAGTGCGCAGCTCTCCTGCCTCTAACCGAAGTTAGTAGATGTTGCCTGGAAGTAAATTCCTAGTCATTAAAATTTCACTACCAAGAAACTTGCTGTGCCAGCTATAAACTAACGCCAGTTCAAATTTCAGAGCCCTAAGAAAAGTATAGACAGCTAGCAGTGGTAGAACACGGGGACCACTGTTATATTTTGTAAATGCAGTCATAACAAGACAAGATTTTAGGCCTCGATTATCTGGGATCAATTGAGCATTGTGCTATCCACGTTCTTGAAAACAATTTTAATGTTTGGCTTTGGCTAATAAACCTAGAAATTTCACGAAATTCTGGCTACCCTAGTTATCATTTACTTATAGGCAGATAGTTTAAGAATGTATATTTAACACGGTCAATAATGGTACAGCTGGCAGACTGTCACAACCTACGGTTAAGTAAAATAAAGAGAAAAATAGAAGAACAGCCACGACTGAAGTACAATTTTCTCCAAAGGGGTAGGGGTTCACAAGCTGTTCGCCATGGAGTACGTTATCCAGCCGTGCCAGAGAGAGTTTCCAGTTAAGTGCACATATTGTTCCTGAGTGCTCAGCCCAGGAAACGAGAACGCCCGAACACGGTCAAGTTTGATGTTGGTTCTTTGGTACTTTGGGCACAAGTCCTACATTGTCCGCATTACGTTCGCTTCCAGCCGACTTCTGTGCGCGAAAAGAGGCCACGGTGAGGTAAACGCTGAGCTGGCATGCGACGCTTGTGGCAAGCCACCGAAGCACGTGCAGTAAAATTATGCAGCTCGGCAGTTAGCAGATTCTTTCCAATCTGAAAGTTCATTGACGAACATGCTCATTTTTGATTACTAATGAGTAGACGGAATCGCTTAGGTTTTTGTTGTTTCCTCATAACTAGAGTACAAACCGCATAATTGAGCTACCGAACCGTCGTCATTGCCGATGTGATGCCGCCATCTTACACTAGCAATTCTCCGAAGGTAGTGGGAACGTAAAACAGATAGCCGCTTGACGTCCTTTGAGCGAACAGGCAAATTCCCGCAGCCATAGAAAAACACCATTCGCAACGTAGCATTATAAACTCGGCCTTTCAGCTAGAGACTCAGGTTGCCTCCACACCAGATTGCGATGATGGGTATAAACAATCCGAACTTTATACAGCATAAAGTACCTAGGCTCCATAAACGTTAGGGCTGGGGCAGATGCTAAGGTAAACGAATTTCTATACCACTTCCAATAGAATACCCGAAATGTTGGGAGAAGTAGGGGAACCTAACCAGCCCTACATGACGATCTTACACTTCGGTGGGGCGAAGGGATCACAGACGTCATCTGCATACTCCAAGTTCAGAAGTCGATCACCATGAAACAGCTAAATGCCACTGGGTTAGTAGTTGTCCAGAGCACTCTTCATGTTGTCGTCCATAGAAACGTAGAACCTGAAGAGTAATGCATGGCAACCAGGTCTCGCGGCACTGTAATACTAACCTAGAGAGTCTATCGTGCATCCGCACTCCGCGCGAGGTTAGAGAGTACATGGCTTAAAAGGGGTTTACATATTGCTAGGACACACGCCTTCTCAACAGACAACAACAGAGGGAAGCTCGTTTTGTTGAGTCAAATGCCCCTTGTAGGTTTTACGGAGATAACAATCGTTGATTGACCGAATGTTCGACAACGCTCCAGTATTTGGCGGAGCGCAAAAATTTGGTTTATACAACTCAGACCGGAGCGGAACTCAACTTTCTATTTGCGTATGTTCCGTTCACGTATCAGGCTGAGCCTCCTCAAAAGCGCTTTGGGCGTAACAGGAATTTGACTAATCGCTCGGTGATCGCCATAGTCTGTCCGGGGCATCCTTTTTGCAGAAGAAAATGATACTGCTGTGCTTCAATTAGACAGCATTGCTCTAGTGATTTAAATAGTTTGGAGGAAGGTAATTAACGTCCGGGCAACGGATTGGTATGTATCTTTGAAAATAGACGTGGTGAATTTGTCTGGGCCGGGGCTTTGTAGCGCATCGGAAGGTAAAGCGCATAAATTACGTCAGCCTCAAATGGTGGTGAAGCATCTACACATCAAGGAGCACTGTGCATTCCCTAAGGAGAACTTATCAGTAATGCAGGTCGGTTAAACTGCTAAGCTAAAGGTGCTAAGCCAAAGGCAAAAGTCGACATTGTTGACAGTGGATTAGCTTACCGTTGACCTCGCACCAAACGTTGATTACAGTCGACATTTTTCCGCCACTGGATCAGATCAGAGGAACGTTTTCGGAAGTACACCGAAGCAGTTGCCTGTACCTTCTTGATGAATCCCTTTGTTCACCGGACCTCGTGATCTTGCAGGAGGTGTTTCTTGAGCTAGGAGTGACAGTTAATGCCAGCAAGAATTACTCGATCGGTTTTGCTAAGTTGGATAGTTTAGATCTTCCAAAGTTAAAAGCATGCCATTCAAATCAGTTTATAACATAATGGTAATCCGTACAAAAACCAATCTGATTATAGCTCCTTAATTCTGTTAGCGGTTTAAGTAGGATAAGTTCATTGCGCGGTGAGGGAAACACCCTGTGCTGTGCACGGCATTAACGAGCAAGTCAGTGGATAGCGAGCGGCGATATATCACATACGGTAACAGTCATGTCAGTCTTTACAGTCCCGTGTAGCCTAACGGTTTTAATTCCGGACTACTACCAGTCGCTTTGGGGTTTAGAGCCCCAAAGGGGTTTGAGGAATGAGCGCCACTGACAATGAACAAACAAATACATGTGTTCTCACCAATGCGAAACGCCTATCAATGCGTCGTCATGCTTCATTACAGGATAAGACTACCGTTCAATGTCTTCCCATGCGTGTGACGGCTAACTGACGGAGTCTAGATCAGAAGTTCAACTTATAGCGATTATATTTTGCAGCGCTTATGGTGGTTCGGCTCATATGCGTCAGGGAACCAGCTATTTAACAGATTTTCCATAGTGGTCTCAAACCGATTACTGGTTGGCTAACAGTAGTTGCTAATATAACTAATTTTCCCATTCCTATTTCCACCCAACCAAGCGATGGGGCAAACACGTTAGTCAACCGTTCCCCCTCCCCCCCTATGCGGGTCAAGGACCCCACAGCGCTGTGTTAGTACCTAATTTAAACAACTTCCATGGCGTCCTGTATTCAACACACCCCCACACAGTATACAGCTTGTTCTAAGACGCTTACTCCAGTATGTAACGATTTGGCACCGGCATCTTTCACCACATTAACAAGTAAATTTTGGCGGTACGGTAACAAAAATTTTTGATAGAATGTAATGGATGTGAATAGAACTCTTGATTTGAAGTAGGTAGAAGGAACGGATATGGGTACTGGCAAGGCATCATGCATTATAAAGAATAGTCATTTATAACCTAAAAGAAAAACGACTGCATCTGTTGAAACAAGGAGGCCAACGAGAAGCTTGAAATAACTTGGAGTGCAGGTGGCTGGAAATTGCTGTTCACTAAGTACATACCTCGTTGAACTGGACAGTTTGATTGCTGACATTTCGTCACTAGTCGAGGTGACGTCATAAACGCCGGTTTCATGTAACACACTGGAAAAAAACGGATTTGGTTTCTGTCAGTATCGGCTACAAAACTGCTACCCATACTACATTGGTGATGTCATCCTGACTGGTGACGAAATGCCTGCTCTCAACTTGCTCCATAAGGTGAGCAATTCAACAATAAAGTTCTTGTGTAATCCACCGCACCTGGAAGTAAGCTGCATCGA